AGAGGGGCTTAGCCAAGGCAGTGGTGCCAGAGCTGCTGTCGGGGTGGGAGAGCTGCCCTGGTGTGCAGCAGGATGGGGCTGAGTGGAGCCTGGAGCAGCGATGCTTCAAGGAGCTGGCCCGAGCTCATCAATCATGCTCTCAGGGCCACTTCACGGGCTCCTGTCCGCCTTCATGAGTGCCTGGAGGCATTGCAACATCTGGCAGCTTGGCTGGGCTTTAATCAGAGGCCTTTAATCACTGTCGTCCTGCCACAAGCCCCCGACAGCGACGGGGTGGGCAAGCTCCCTGTCTCCAGGGGCTGGATCCTCGCACGCCGCAGCGGGAAGGCAGCGCCCCGACCCTCCAGGCTGCAGAAGCCCCGTGTCTTTGGGGCCAGAGCATGTCGCGGCAAAGGGTTTTTGCAGTGTCCCGTCCTTCCTCTGTCTCCCCCCAAAACCACCCAGCAGGGCCGTGGCAATTCTTCTAATGTCTGATAGCAAGAGCTTTGTATGTTTTAGTGCTCCTCGTGGTGTACTGGACTGGGGGAGCTGGTGTACTGGGCCAGTACTGGGAGAGATGCTGATGTGTTAAGTGTTGCTTCTGTCCGTGCAGGGCACAGCTTACTACGTCCAGGTGTCTGCCTACAACATGAAGGGCTGGGGTCCCCCACAAGCCTCCATCCCCCCTTTCGCCATCCCTTCCAGTAAGTACCGCTGAGACCACCTGCAGGAGCTGGCACCAGCTGCAAGAGGGATGGGGGCAGGTGGCAGCTCCTTGTGCCATCCACGAGTCCCTCTCACTGCTGGGATGGGGTTTAGTGGATCATGGAGGATTTAGGGTCTCAGGCCAGGCAGGGAAGCTGTGCCTGGGGGTCCAGGACACTGCCTCCAGGCGTTGGGAGCTTTGTCAAATACTAATCTTTGAACCTGAAGTTCTCCTGACTGCTTGGTAAACGCTCATTTAGGCCACCTAGATCAGTTCATCCTAAGGATGTAGCCAGGAGGGAGGATGTTTTGCTTTCTCGGTTAAAAGGAAAGCGATGCAGCTATCTCCTCTGTAGGAAGGAAAATGACCGGTGAGTATTTTAGCTGAGGTTTGCAATTTAATGCAGGGCAGCTTTTGGGAGGGATCGGTCCTTAGTGACATCTGCCCCAAAGCAGCCAAGTTTGTGCAAAACCACAGTAGGCATGTGCTTAGCGGTGACATGGTGGGATTTCCCCCATGGAGGTGCTCCTCCAGGACTCAGATCCATGCTGATTGGGCTGGCAGCCCTCTCTGTGCCACTGCATGCCCCCACCCACCCAGCCCAGCCTTGGGGACCTGCATTCCCTCGGTGGTGGGGCCACGAGCCCCGCCAGAGACGAGCACTTACCTTCCTTGCACACCAGCA